TTTTTTTTTTTTTTTTTTTTTTTTTTTTTTTTTTTTTTTTTTTTCCCCAGCCGCCGAATCATGTCGATGAGCCCAAAGCATACGACTCCTTTCTCAGTGTCTGACATCTTGAGTCCTTTGGAGGAAAGCTACAAGAAAGTGGGCATGGAGGGCAGTAACTTGGGGGCTCCCTTGTCAGCCTACAGACAGTCTCAGGTTTCGCAGCCGGCCATGCAGCAACACCCCATGGGCCACAACGGAACGGTGACTGCCGCCTACCATATGACAGCGGCAGGGGTCCCCCAGCTCTCCCACGCTACGATGGGGGGCTACTGCAATGGGAACCTGGGCAACATGAGCGAGCTCCCGCCTTACCAGGACACCATGCGAAACAGTGCTTCAGCGACAGGATGGTACGGCACCAACCCAGATCCCCGCTTCTCCTCAAGTAAGTGAGCCCGGGGCCGGCTGTCCGCTGGGGGGTGGCTGCGTCCCTCTTTGCCCCGCGGGCGTCTGGGGCAAAAGTCGGTGCGGACCCCGCTCGTCCCCCTCCGCTCTGTCCGTTCTTCTATCGGAGTATCGGGCCCCGTCCCCCCTCGCAAGGCGATTCGCGGCTGCTCCCGGGGCGGCAGGAGGGAGGAGGGGAGCCGGCAGCAGAGCATCGGCGTGGGATACAGCCGCAGGGAACCCGGCACTGCCCGGCTCCCAGCGCTCCGCCCGATCCCGGCAGGACGAAGGGAAGCGGAGCCGCTGAAGCCGCGGAGGAGCGGGGGGAACGGGAGAGCCCGGCTTGGCGGAACCCCGGCAGCGGGAGCCGACAACCGCAGGGACCGTGCGGCGGCACACGGGAGGCGCGAAGGGCGAGCGGGGCCGGGCCGGGAGTGAGGGGGTCCCGCGGGCGGCGGGGGAACGCGAGAAGCGGCGGCGGCGCGAGCGGGGGCAGCGCGGGGCCGAAACGAGCCGCTGACAGCGCGCCCCTTCTGCCTTGCAGTCTCCCGCTTCATGGCGCCGTCCTCGGGCATGAACATGGGAGGCATGGGCGGCCTGAGCTCCCTGGGGGACGTGAGCAAGAGCATGGCCCCGCTGCAGAGCACGCCGCGAAGGAAACGGAGGGTCCTGTTTTCCCAGGCCCAGGTTTACGAGCTGGAGAGACGTTTCAAGCAGCAGAAATACCTCTCTGCCCCCGAGAGGGAACATTTAGCCAGCATGATCCACCTCACTCCGACTCAGGTCAAAATTTGGTTCCAGAACCACCGCTACAAGATGAAGCGGCAGGCCAAAGACAAGGCTGCGCAGCAACAGATGCAACAGGAGAACGGCTCCTGCCAGCAGCAGCAGTCCCCCAGGAGGGTGGCTGTGCCGGTGCTAGTGAAGGATGGCAAGCCCTGCCAGGCGGGCTCCAACACCCCCACCGCAGCCATCCAGAGCCACCCGCAGCAGGCGGCCACGACCATCACGGTGGCCACCAATGGCAACAGCCTCGGACAGCATCAGAGCCATCAGACAAACAGTGCGGGGCAGTCTCCCGACATGGGACAGCACTCGGCCAGCCCTTCCTCCCTGCAGAGCCAAGTCTCCAGTTTGTCTCACCTGAACTCTTCCACTTCTGACTATGGCACTGCCATGTCCTGCTCCACCTTACTATACGGTAGGACCTGGTGAAAGGATTAAAGAAAGCGAAACAAAACAAAACAAAATAAAACAAAACAAAAAAAAAAAAAGAGAGAGAGAGAGAAAAAAAACACCAACAGATTTTCCCAGTCACACAAATCTGTGTCCTGTCCAAAGTACTGGGTGCTTTCCTTTGCTCTTTTATTATTTTTTCTTCCTTCCTTCCTTCCTTCCTTTCTTTCTTTTTTTCCCCTTAAAGATTTTTAATTTTAATTTTAATTTTAATTTTAATTTTAATTTTCGTTTTACTGATTGGTTCTCTGAGGACCCCTAAGAGAGAGAGGAAGAGAGTGACTTCTTGTTCCGTTCACTGATACTGTGACAGTTTTGGGTCTTTCTTTTTTCCCTTTTCCCCCCAACTTGCTGTGTGGGGTGTTAAACCAATTCTGACCAATAACTACGGAGCGGTCTGCAGACAGGGGCCCGTCGGTAGGCATGGCCCGAAGGCTCGGATTGCAGATGGACCCTTTGCCAGCGTCTAGGACTTGCATGTAAATATAGAGATTGGGGAGGATGGGGTTGGGGTTATTCCCAAAAACGCGGTCGCTGTACGCAGCCACAGAGCAACCTCCCCCACACCCGGCTCCGCTCCTAGCCCCGTCCCAGCGATGGGGCCGGGAGGCCACACGAGGCTTTGGCTTTTCTTTTACGTTTGATGTGAACCTGTAGCTGTATAATGCTGTCAAAAGTTGGACTAAACCCATAGTTTTTAGCATCCTGTATATTTTGTTGTAAAAAGAAAGAAAAAAAAAATACAATCAACCAAACCAACCCCACCCCTCTTTTTTATGGACACTGATTGTCCCCTCGTAAACTCTCCGACAGTTTGTTCTTTGCGCACGCCGCCTTTTCCTGTTGTAACTTATGTAGATATTTGGCTTAAATATAGTTCCTAAGAAGCTTCTAATAAATTATACGCATTGCGAATATACATATATATATTTTTTAAACTTCCTCTCGGCTCGCTCCAGACCCTCCTTTCCCCCATCTCTATTTTTGTGTTGGATGGAAACCGGACCGGGACGCTGCGGGCTCCGGGACGCCCCCGCTCGGGGGAACCGCGCCGGGAGGCGGTGAAACGCGGGGCCGAGCGCCGATTGAACGCGCGGAGAGAGAGTGCGGAGCTCCCGCGCAGCAGGGGATGGGGTCAGGCCGCTACGGGGGGCGGAGGGGGCCTCGGTCCTTTTTGCCGGAGAAAGTGAAGTGCTCCGGGAAGAGAGAGCCAAATGCCAAAGGCGCGGAGGAGAAAGAAGGGAGAAGTCTGATGCCACTAGAAACAAACTAACGACGAACGTTCTGGCAGTGTAGGACGTCCGGCCGTTTTAAAGAGCGTCCAATTTAAACACCTTGTTTAAAAATAAAATAAAATAAAAAAAAAGAAGAAAGAAAGAAAGAAAGAAAGAAAGAAAGAAAGAAAGAAAGAAAGAGAACAATCTCTATCAGGTTTTCCTATGTACTTGTATTTTAAGGGAAGTACAGTCACCTTATTTATAATCCAAATAAAAAGATAGTTTATTGTGTACGAATTGTAGTTTGGATTAACTTTCTTTGAAGGGCTGTACTGAATTTCCCACCCACACACACCTCCCAGGCAGACAGACGGCCATGCAGCTCTCCCGCAAGCGCCAACCCCAGTCTCCAGGCGGGGGGTTAAGGGCAGGCTGCTGCTCAGCGTAGCACAGGTTGGGCTTTCGGTTTGGTTTTTTTTTTTTCCCTTTTTTTTTTTTTCCCCCTTTTTTTTTTTTTTCCCTCTCTTTTGTTTTTTTGTTTAATTTTTTTTTTTTTTTTTTATTTCTCTCTCTCCCTTTCTTCTCTCTTTTTTTTTTTTTTTTTAATTCCCCTTTTGTTTTCTTCTTCATTTTCGTAGCGCTGTGGGAATTGAGTAAAGAAGCAGATGCAGAAGGCGTGGGTGTGTGCGTGTGCGCCCGGCCGGGAAACCGAGGTGCCTTCAGTTGTAAGATAAATCCGATGGGTAATGCAAGCAATTAGGTATTAACTCTGTTGTAAATATATGAATCATATCCTGTGAAGCAGCTCATATTGGACAATCATGAACTTAATGTCGTTTTTAATGTCTCGGGTCCCAAATATCCCCTCTGTGAGTGTAACAAAAGAACCCCCCATCCCGAAGGCTCTCTCAGTATGTTACCTTTGCATTTGCTGCTCGGTTGCGTTTTCTTTTTTTTTTTTTAATTTTTATTTTCCCCTCCAGACCCCCCCGGTTAAACCACGGAAGCTATTCGGTCATTGAAAGCTTTCTGCATTACAGTGGTATTATGAAACGCTCATATTTTTGAGGAGAAAGCAAGCAGATTGCCGGAATGAAAACAAACCAACCTCCAGCTTAAGTAGCGGCTTTCGAAAGCCCTTTATTGATATAAGATAACCGGCGTTACTCGGACACCAAGTGCCGGTTTGGATGGAGAATAAGGGAAATAGACAGAATGAATTAAAAGATTATCGGATTCTTTCTGCCCCCCTCGTCCCCCGTCGTCGTCCCCATCCCCACTCCCCACCCCCCACCCCCGCCACCCCACTCCTTATTTCTAACTAGAGAACATCACGTGTGTTAGCAGGAATTTCGAGACCTTTCATTCTTTATACTACGTCCCGCTTTGCACAGGGGCAGTCTCAACTAACCCAAAGAATATTCCTTTTTCTTTCTTTTTTTTTTTTCTCCCTTTCTCTACCGAGCTCACATTCCTTTCGGACACACGCATTAAACTCAGCCCCTCGGTGCCCGTAGTTCCGCTCAAAGGGAAAGGTGCTGGGGATCCCGGAGGTGCCACGGCGTTGTGAGGGGAGCGGGACAGGGGGGCACTCGGCTGATTCTTCAGTCGGGGCTTGGTTGGACTAGATGATCTTGGCGGTCTTTTCCAACCTAAACGATGCTGTGATTCTGACGGAGATAGCGCACAAGGCCGAGGTGGACACCGCTGTGCTGAAGTCGACATTTCCCCTTCAGATGTAATGAATATGTGCATCCTTTCAGACGTTCACAGCTGAGGAGCACTGAAAGGCCTTAAAAGAGCCAAGAAATACCTCCTTCCGTCCCTGGAAAAAACTGGTGGGGCTGGCATGTGCGGCAGACACCCAGCCGGTGACTTCTCATTACTGATCTCGGGGGAAATAAATGAATTTTATTGTGTCTCGGCAACCTTATAAACACATATTTGGTGGTGGGTGTAATTACTGTAATGGATTATTATGTACACTGACTTATCTTTCTTAAACTAGATTTAGTTTCGATTAAATAAACTCGTTTCCACTTTGTCTGATGTCGGCTTAGTTTAAAGTCTGTTTACTTGTTCCACAGAAAGGTGAATTCATCTCTTTATTAAGCACTAGGGACCGAGCAAACACAGTTCAAACTGTATTTACATATCAATCAGGAGAAACGCAAACAAACTGCTCTTGAACAATTTTATAGCTTTTAATGACATTGTGTTATTGCTTTTATCATAAATTTATTTGTATAAAGCGGTTATGCCTTCATTAGGATGAAGATACTTGGTTGTGTTTTTGTGGTATTCTTTTTCTTTTTTTTTTAATCCCAGCTCTCCCTCGAGGTCGCTCACGGGGACGAAGGCACTGTGCAGCCTTTCTAAATTAAAATCAGTGCCTCCGTCTGAACACTCACTTCTTGGAGTACGCCGACTTTCAGTCCCTCGGTAATCAAGGAGAAGTTTGGATAATGGGATGGTGAGGAGACAAGACTGAAACCTGAACTGATGGGAGAAATGCACCTTTCCCAATGTGACCGCTCCTTTATAGGACATTTTATAGGGGCGATGAGGGACCCGGAGAGGAATGGCGCTCCCCTGCCTCTACCCATTTCCTGGCATTGCCCTTTAACGGGGGAGAACCGCCGAGGGCATTTTTTCCCGTTGTAAGTAGGAGTTCGTGGTTGACTGCCATGGAGTATGCACGTAGTAAAAAGGAAAGGGGGGGAAGGGAAAGAAAACCTACTGAAAACAAAAGGCAAAAAGCCCCAAACCCTATCACCGCCCCCACGACAATAGCAGAGGGCTCCTTCCCGTTTGCTGTTCCCCAGCCAGCCGTGGGTTTGCTGTGCCCCGCAGTCCCGGGCAGCGCTGGGAGCCGGCGCCGTGCCCGTCCGTCGGGCCACGCTGGGAGCGGGACGAGGAGAGCCTTCCTGCCCGCGGCGTTCCGACGGCAGCGCGGAGCCCACAGACAGCGCGCCAGTGCGGGTCCCGAGCAGTGCAATCTGAGACAGCTCCGAAATGACTCCGGGACAAGATGCCACGGAGCGAGAGGAGATATTTTGGCACTTCTGTGGCAGAGTGCACGTACGGAGACCCATGGGGCCCCAGCCCCGGCCGCGGTGCATAGAAACCCGGATTGCGGCCCGAGGGAGTCTCGGAGGACTGCGGTCCTCCCACGGCCATGTCAGGAGCAAAGCTGAGCAATACTTTTTTTCTGTCTGACCGCTGTTCCTCTCATGATCCCCTTCGGGGCGGGGGGGGGGGGGGGGGTGGAAAAAGCCAATCTCCAAACCCTAAGTAATGGTAACACTGTTTGTGTTCATCAAACGCATGCAGAGATCTGTCCCAGTGCGGCTGTTGCTATGAGGTAGAGAGAACCATCTCTGGCAAAGGGGTGAATAACGCGAAATGATTTATTGTCATTTTCTTTCTTTCTTTCTTTCTTTCTTTTTTTAATTTTTTTTTTTTTTTTTTTTTTTTTTTTTTTTTTTTTTTCTGGCTGCAGCACGATAGGGAGCAGGTAAGGTCAAAGTTTTCTATATCCTATGTCTGTCTCTCAAGGCTCTGGTCAGCTGTATAAATAAGGCGAATAAGATGGATTTATGTAACACGGAACTGAATTCGTTTCGATGCTTAAAACAACGCACTGTGCAGGAAACGTCTTGGGGATCCCAGAGATGCAAACATTGCCTAGGACATTTCATCTTCGATTTGAAGGTTTTTTGGTAGTGGCAGGGGGGAATGGGAAAAACTGGTATTTTTTTA